GCTTTGAGGAAATTTAGAAAGAAAACCAACCAAGCGATCCATACGTATGTATAAGCCGAATCGCTGACACCGCGGTGACTCCCCAATTAGCCCCTGTGAACCCTAAAGAGGAAAAAATTGAAGGGGTGAGGGACCCCGCCATAAGCGTAAATGCGATGTGTGTAATAAGCATGTGTATACAGAAGGGGGGGGGCGACTATATATATATACAAAAGCCCGAACAGCGATATTCCGAGCATGATTGAGCCTCGGAGAGAGAGAGAGAGAGAGAGAGAGAGCGAGCAAAAAAGAGCGATAGTAGGCGGGGGTGGAGAAGAAAGCGGGAGGCAGGTCATCGACCCGTGCACGTGGAGTACCGCGGCAAAGTAGGCCACGTCGTGACATCACACGGAATCAAAATGGCTGCTCTCTCTCTTTCTCGCGCTTCTTTTTTTTTTTTTTTTCTCTCTCTCTCTCTCTGCTGCAGTCGCGTGGTTCGCGTTTGTAACACGCTGGGAGTGTAATAATATCATGGGATTGGTGGGTCGAGTTGTTTCATGTGCATTTGGTACATGCAGTGCTCGATAGGTATATGTATAGATGCAGCGTGTATGAAAAAGGTGTGTAACCACGTGTTTCTATGCGTGTACGTGCGCGAAACGCGTTAATATTATCGAGGAGAAAAAAGTTACGATGAAATAATTGGCTGCATGAAATTTTTGAGCGTAAAAAAGTTAGGGTTGATTATTAATACAAATGAATAGATTCGCAGGACGGGGTGGACTTTCAAAGTAACTTTAAACCCCAGTTTTTTTTTTTTTTTTTTTTTTAATAAGTCATAACTCCCCGGTGGGATTTTGGTAATATTTAGATACATCGTTACATCAAGAAACTTGATTAAAAAAAAAAAAAAATTATTTTCCTATTTTGAAGAATTTACACCAGCAATTGCTCTGTTCATTAAATTATATCACTAATCTATACGATTAATTGACGATTCCATAGCTTTTACGAACAAGAGAGATGTTCACCCGAATTTCCTGTACCAACTTGGTTATCTCGACAAATTTCATCATTACAATCATACTTTTGGTTAGAAATGGAAAATTACCAGCCCATGACGTAACGGGTGAAAACGCACTTTATGTAACTTCTCTGCTCTTTTCCAGGTCGTACATATATATATATATATAAGTACTTACTTCTAATCAACCAGCCCAACGCTCTGGGAGTATCTGTACAGGGTACCGAGATACCAGTAGGTAATGGTAAAAAAAAAAAAAAAAATGCTCATACATTTCCGTTCAATGTTAGCGTGAATTTTCACGTTGTAGCAGAGAGATGTTTTTGCTACTTTGGCATGTAAAAACTACGGGACGTATACGTTTGGATAACTTTTTCAATAGATTTCTCGATTTCGCTCGCTCCCATATATAAGTTGCACAGCTCGAGGTTATGATTTTGTTTCCAGTATTGCTGATATGTTTTTCTCTCTCTTCCTTCTCTTTTGGCCTTTGTTTCCACGCTATTGTCACGGGTTGAGAAGCTTTTTATTTTTCCTTTTCAGAATATTGTACATCGATCGCTTTTTTAAATTTATTATTCCGAATACGATTATCTACATATATCGGAATTATATCGGATTACTCACGTGACTAGCTGTTGTACACGATTGTATGTACATACATCGATCACCAAAATTGTTGTCGATCGGCTGATTTATAACGAACGATCCAAAAGCAGGCTTTTATATTGCACGTATACTTATTTCGATGACAAAAAAATATATGTATGAATAAATTATGTTGTATATGAACAGGAAAAAAAATATACATATGCCGTAGTAACTCGTACACTACCGCACAGCTCGTAAATCAGAGCACACGTTTTTCAAACCAAAGACGAGTAGACGACGTCGATTTTTACCGAAGCTTAAAAAAAAAAAAAAAAAAAAAAATAAAAGCCAGGAATAAAAAACGTATCACGTGCTCGCACGCGAGTCTCTTTATATCGTGTAGATACATCTTTGGTATAAATAATCATAACTGGATTCGACATGAAAGAAGTAATAGACGTGATTTACGACGCTTTATGATAAGAACCATTTGTGATTTTTTTTCTTTGGGGAAAAAACGTATGATCCACGCGGATATAATAAAAGTAACAATACATGATAACAAATAAATGTAAAGAATTAAGTGACAGTTTAAAGTTTTCGTCCCGAGCGTTTTGGGTCATAATTTAGAGGGCAAATTTAATTCTACGATAAAACGCGCACGTGCTCGCTTTGAGAAACTTACACGTATTTACAGCTTGTACTGTTGTACTGTTCGGACGATGTGCTTTTGTTAGTTTTGGAGCACTATAGTTTAGAGACGCTATTGTCTTGCTCGTGTATAATTTCAAATTTATTGTTACAATTTATATACACCTTAAGTACAGGTGCAGAGATACGTAAATAGGCCATACGCATCACGTAAGTATGTGGCTATGTATATTATGTAGTATTAAAAATTATGATTTGTCGATTGCTGTATATACACGTGTACGAGATGATGAAAACAAAATAGCACTAATACGCATACTTATTTCCTTGAAATATTCAATTCATACATCGTAGAGAGATACGTCGATAACTTTTTTTTTAAGGGGGCTCCTTCACGAAAGTCCCCAAACAGAGATATATTATTTCTTGTAAATAAAAGTCTACTGAATTGAATGGTGGTCTAAATTATATTTCGAATGGGTCAAAATTTTGAGAAATCCGAGCTCAAAGTTGTAACTATTAGCACGTGTTCCTATGGGGCAGCGTGAAAAACAATTTGTTTTCGTTTATAATAAACCTAAATTAAATGTCCCAGCAGACTGAATATATACGTTTTGTAGATGAAGTCTTCCTCTGTAATATGCTGTATTAAAAATTGTGGATAAAGGACCATTTTAGCTAGATATTTGTGATGGAAATAAATAAATAGTGTCCGGGAGGTCAGGAGGTCACGTGGGTAGCAGACGTACTTGTTCACGACATATTTATACCATATACCTATATATTACATCGCTATACTACACCAACACAGGTGGTCTGGTCTGGTGGTGTACCCTCGTATGCACTAGACTGGTCAAAACAATAATTCATTTTTCGTACAAAGTTAAACTATGGACATAAATATCATTTTTCCCACTTCATACGTTATTAAAAATATCATAATGATTTTCAGACACATTTGTTTATTGAAAAACAAAACTTTATTTTTTGTTTGTCTTTGACCTCAGCAGTAGTCGTAGGAGCCCCCTTAATAAGGGCACTACAATGGGCACTTAGCACTTGGGAGAGCGACAAGGAAAGGGATGGGAGGCCTCCCATTACAGGAGGGGAGTAGGGGGAAATTAGGCAATTTTTGCATGCGAGAATGAAATAAAATTGTGCTCCTATAACGTTGATTTCTGACACACTTTTGTAGGCCCATGCGATAAGTACATGTATATTTATGCGTACACATTTTAGGAGCCTTTCAAAATGACTCAAGTTTGTGCAATGGCAAACAATGTAATTTGAGTGGCAAAAAAAATAGTTATAATTAAGTAATACATACCTTAAGTTTGGCCTTTGTTCAATTATGGAAACAAAAAAAAACTACAAACAACAAATCGATTGAATCCAAATTCGTTTTTGGTTAATAAAAGTTCTATTATTTTTCTACTGTTTACGATTAAAAAGAGCCGATTGAACTGATACACTGATACACTGATACACTGTGGGTGCGTATGTATACAGCCGCGCTTGATAATATATCATACTTGTGTACTTTTATCGAAGCTTTTGTCAGATCAGATCTGATAAGTATGCGTCAGCAGGTGATGTGGTTGTATACATTTATATGCAAACATGCAGAGGCATTGCTATGCTTGATTAATCAACGAAAAAGCAACACTCGCATGCTGATGTAAGTGGATATACCCACACATATGTGTAGAAAAACAGAGGATGGGAATATGGGATGGAGATGGAAAGTAACAACATGAGGGGCGTTGGTGATAAGTTTACAATTGTACCGATAAAATTGTGTTGCCACAGTATACGGCTATCCAAAGGCTGATTTATTTATTATAAGTTCTGACCAATTTCATTGCAGAAATTCTAGCTAAAAAGTTATAAATTGAGGAATAGGTACCAACGCGTTCCAATTCATGGAGCACGTAGATACATCTGGTGGCAGAACAGTTGTACCAATCAGACACACAGTTGCATGATCGATTGTAGGTAATATGCGTGGAAACTTCATTACCATGCATGTGTGGCAATGAAGAAAACTATGTACTGACTTTGCACCCAACACCGTCATTTTCATCAAGTAGCCGTTCAATTTTCCAAATGATTAATTTTACTAGTAGGTAAGTACTTCGTAATGAATTATCGTCTTTTATACTTGTGTCTTGATTTGAGTTTTTTCTTTAATTCAATTCAACAATCTTTGTGTTGACTCTAATAACCGAGTGCAATTGCTTTAATACTTTCACTAATCAGATTACTACGTCTCTGTTGAAAATTTATAATTATTTTTATTTATCTTNGACATTGTATTGATTGACTTGATTAGAAATTTTGAAAATTGGATACTTAGTTTTTTTTCTTTTATTTTTCACGTGCAACACAGGGCAGAGTAAGGCGAATTCATATTATTTTTATGTTTTAATATTTTTTGTTTACCAAGCATGAAATGACATCAAATGATTTCACCAATGGTATCTTCAAGAGACACACCAAGGCTTCATTAATAAGAAAATTTTTTTATGGCCACAGAATGTCTGACCAAATTCAGTGTTTACTACTTGCACGGTACTGTACGCATTATACGCCCCTCCTAGCTGCAGCTAGACATTAGTTAATATTTTTTGCTGTTCTTGTGTATATAACGTTAACAAAGAAATATTGTACTGGAATCATGAGATTTTTTATCATTAAAACTTAAATAAAATACATAATTATTGGTGGGGTATGGAGTCAATAATCACACAAAACATTGTTCACTCACGATCTTGTACGTTTATTGGACACGAGTTTTTATTGACTTTTTTTTTTATTAACATTAATATCGATTGATTTTGACAATCAACGCACTTAAGAAATAGTGTAGACCTCAGATAGTGCCCGTAAGTATTGAAAACTAAATGTACCATTAACGATTGATACATTAAATTCAAAAGAAAGAAAAAAAAAGGAACCAACGAATGACATTAATAATTAAAATACTAAAAATTAGTTGGTACGTAGCAAAGATGAACGCGATTGGATGACAAGTGGTAAAAAAAATGATCAACATTCGTAAACACGTGATTATAAAATAAATACGCATGCTTTCATACAATTCGCTCTATGTCGTCTACATAATGGCAAATCATTCAATCGTGTTTCTCATATACAGGTATCACTGTGTGTCCCGTGTAAGTGGACGAACTTAATACATACTCTAACGATTTTTAATCAAGTCTTTTTCAACAATCTCCGTTGCAGAGTCTTTGGATTCCCCTAAGTAATAAACGGCTTTAAGGGCGAGCTTAGTCTACTTCTTCCATCCTCGACACTTCTTCGGCATCAGCACTTTCGAGTGATGGTACTGCGTCGTCTTTGTTGCCCTCTTCATCTACTGCCATCTCCTCGTCCTCATCGAAGCCAAGACCCAGCTTGATCATCCTGTGGATGCGAGAAGCGTGAACTCCCGGATCCTCAAGAGCGAAACCTGACGAGAGCAGGGCTGTCTCAAAGAGCAGCATAACGAGATCCTTGACCGATTTGTCGTGTTTGTCGGCCTCGGCTTTCTGACGTAGATTCTCTATGATCGAATGGTCAGGGTTGATCTCGAGGTGTTTCTTGGCTGCCATGTAGCCCATGGTCGAGGTATCACGGAGCGCCTGAGCCTTCATGATCCTTTCCATGTTGGCGGTCCAGCCGTACTGCGAGGTGACAATACAGCAGGGTGAGTCAACCAGCCTGTTGGACACGACGACCTTTTCAACTTTCTTGTCGAGGATGTCTTTCATGACTTTGCAGAGGTTCTCGAATTTGGTCTTGTCCTCCTCGCGCTTCTTCTTTTCCTCTTCGTCTTCGGGAAGCTCGAGACCCTCCTTCGTGACGGAGACTAGCTGCTTGCCGTCGAACTCTTTCAGCTGCTGGACAACGTATTCGTCTATCGGCTCAGTCATGTAGACGACTTCGAATCCACGCTTCTTGACTCGCTCGACGAATGAACTGTTGGCCACTTGATCCTTGCTCTCGCCAGTGATGTAATAGATGTGCTTCTGGTTTTCTTTCATGCGGCTGACGTAGTCTTTCAATGAACACTGTTCGTCACCAGAAGCCGAAGTGTGGTAGCGCAGGAGTTCGGATAATTTTTTTCTGTTGGTGCTGTCTTCGTGGATACCAAGCTTTAAGTTCTTGGAAAATTGCTCGTAAAGTTTTTTGTAATTATCTTTATCCTCGGAGATTTCTTCAAACAGCTCTAAGCATTTCTTGACGAGATTCTTTCTAATGACTTTCAGAATCTTGTTCTGCTGGAGCATCTCACGAGAGATGTTGAGTGGAAGATCTTCGCTGTCTACCACACCACGGATAAAGTTTAGGTATTCTGGAATCAGATCCTCGCAGTTGTCCATGATAAAAACGCGCCTTACGTACAGCTTTATGTTGTTTTTGCGTTTTTTGTTCTCAAATAGATCAAATGGAGCACGACGAGGTACGAAGAGAAGGGCACGGAACTCAAGCTGACCTTCAACGGAGAAATGTTTTACCGCAAGATGGTCCTCCCAGTCATTGGTCAAGCTCTTATAAAACTCGCCATACTCTTCTTGAGTGATGTCATCTGGGTTCCTAGTCCAGATAGGCTTCGTCTTGTTGAGTTCTTCTTCGTCTGTGTATTTCTCCTTTACCGTCTTCTTCTTCTTTTTCTTATCATCTGTAGGTTTATCCTCATCCTCGTCTTCTCCAATGTCCTCAACATCTGGCTTGTCATCTTCCTTTTTCGCCTCATCTTCTTTGTCCTTCTCTTCCTCTTCCTCATCATCACTAAGTTCTTTGTCACGTTCTTTCTCTGTTACAAGCTTAATAGGATAGCCGATAAATTGTGAGTGCTTCTTCACGATCTCTTTGATTTTGGACTCCTCCAAATATTCACTTTGATCTTCTTTGATGTGAAGAACGATCTTTGTACCACGGCCAATGGGTTCACCATTATCAGCGCGGATGGTAAACGAACCACCAGCCGAAGACTCCCAAATGTACTGTTCATCATCGTTGTGTTTTGATGTTACTGTAACTTTATCGGCGACAAGGTAGGCAGAGTAGAAACCCACACCAAACTGACCAATCATAGAGATATCAGCCCCAGCTTGCAACGCCTCCATAAACGCCTTGGTGCCAGACTTAGCAATTGTACCCAGGTTGTTTACTAGATCGGCCTTGGTCATACCAATACCCCTGTAATAGTTTCAAGTGTTTTAATATTTTTGTCAACTAATTTCCAAGGCAAAATATCAACTTAAAGCTTTATGGAAAGTGTTAATACAATTATTAATTTAATTCTTATTTTCGGTGAAATGTAGGGTTGAAAAATTTGATGATAACTTACGAGTCGATAAAGGTGAGAGTGCGATCATTTTTGTTGGGGATGAGTTTGATTCCCAATTCTTTGCAAGAGTCGAGCTTTGATGGATCTGTGAGAGACTCATAACGGATTTTGTCCAAGGCCTGAAATATTTAATGTTGACATAAAGTATACTCTCAGGATGAATTTTTCAAATTAAAAATTAAATTAGATTAATTTAAAAATTATAGTTTATTGAAATGCCATCGACAATTACGTAAAAAAAAAAAAAATTAGAGCGCCTAAATGCTCTACTTTAGTGTACGAAAATAAATAACCATAGGTACTTACATCAGACGAGTTGGAAATCAGTTCTCGAATGAAGATCTCCTTGTTCGAGTAGAAGGTGTTGATGATGAGACTCATCAGCTGGGCGATCTCCGCCTGGAAGGCAAAGGTCTCAACCTCGCCGCTGTTCTCCATTGCGACGTCTTCTGACATCTCTGCTTATGATTTTGTTGTCCGCAAACTTCGATGTCGTTCGAATACAAAAACGTAGAACTTTGTCACTCCCTTCTCTCTCCTTTCGATCAATTAAACTCAAATAATTGTAATATGCACCAAGTACAGTCAATTCAATTAATCAACAAGAACTTTGATAACCTTCCAATGAGCTTTGAAACGCGTTTATACTGTTAAATAGTTAATCGCTTGAACAACAAGCTAAAAAGCACAAGAGCGTTGCTCTCAATCGATGTGACTCGCACGGCGTCTGAACAGAAACTGTGAAGTTTAGGGCGTCGCTTTTGGTTTTATACCTGCGCGCGGCCCTTCTCGAAATTTCGCACAGTTTCCAGTTGCCTTGATGCCTTCTGTCTCGAAACTCTCGAACCTTCTGTGGCGAGCGTCTATACCTGATGTCTCAGGTGGGCCGTGCTGTTCTTTTTTCCTCGCACTTTTTCCCGCGATGGAAATTCTTTTTGCAAATTTTGACACCCGATTGAAGGTCGAGTGCAGGTATCGTCGCGGAAAAGATGGTGCTGGTACGAGGTTAAAGGGTTGGTGGCTTGACGAGTTGGGTAAGCGGCACCGGATGTGTCGTTGTCGCCGAAACGTCTCGATATTAGGGAGCGGAAGGGAAAGAGAGAAATGCGACTATGCAGTTGAAATTGCATGAAAAAAGTGTGAATTTAAAAATGAAAAGCTGGGTACTATGGTCCAACAATTGATTATTTATTATAACGACAGGGACTTCATTTCTTAGCCAACTGAATTGCTTATTGAAAAAATCATGGTTGTTTCGGGGCAAGTAAGTATTGATTCATCCGCGTGGTCGAAAAATGTTTGACGAATGCAACGTTTTTTGTTGTTTTTCTTTTGTTTGACCGGTACACTTTTTTTAAAAGAGTAAATCTCTAATGCCCGTGTAAATTATTTATTATTGCGTACATTAATACACTAATTGTAAGTACAATTGAAACATGACTAAAACACGTAATTTGAATTGTCAATGCTTTCAACTTAGGTTTTGTACTTGCATCTAAACTTTATTTCAACAAGTTTAGTCATGTGCCATTGACTAAAACCCATGTAATTAACGTATAGCATTCGAAGCAAAAGAAAATTCTTATTTATCAAAAACATGTGTAATTGCGTAGGTACATGTTGCGAGGAACAATCATTTACTGCCAACACATCTATATGCTCCAACGCTTAAACGGATACATCTCTTAAACGAATTCCCATAATATATTTTAATTGTATCACATAGATTATTCAAATTGCTACAGTCCATGACAATAATTTTATCGTAATTGTTTAACTACGACTTTTAATTGACTTTGTTTGAGAGCAGCGTGGCTCTTTTGAGAACATTCTCGATCTGTCATCGTTTACCTTGGCTATATGAGCGGGGAGCTGACTCAGCCTACAATATTAGCTAGCACAATACTTCTTCAGGCCTTCAGGCACTTTTGTGTATTGACAAATTTAATATTAAATAAATTACATATTTTTCCACAGTTTAAATGTGTTCAAATTAATATGTAAATTAACTTTTTACACATCGAGTACTGTGCTTTCTCCCTTTTATTAGTTCTGTTGCTTAGAACGGTATTTTCAATTTTTTGCAGTTTCTTTGAATTACAGTTTACTGTGTCGATCGCATGGTCGAACAATCTTGGTGTCAACTGATTTTTCATTTGATACAGAACTTGTCTGTGCCCATACGTAAACGTGCATCATCGCGTGTAATATATATTTTGACTTACTACTCTCTAGGCCAAAGATTTGTGACGCGAAATTATGCAATGCGGGACTGAGGTGAGTAATTAACGTAGACGTCTTCTTCGGTGAATGAGCGTTCCAAAAGTTTTGGACCAAAACTCCTTCATAAATTATTGATTGTACATACATTATTATTCAGTTCAGAATTAGTGAGAATACTGTTGATGAATACAGCATTTGTGTGGAACGGTTAAATATTGCCGTTCAATTATCGTGTGGATTGAAAAAAAAATTTTTAAAAGTACCTTATACTAAGTATCGTGGGGATTTTAAATTTTAAATTCAATTAGTGCAAATACATTTTACCTTGAGATGTTATGTGGATGAGAGCTTTTCAATGTATGAGAAAAAACAAACAATTTAAAAAAAAAATAATAAATTTTACCGAAACCCATTTTTAATACAATGGAATTTTCTTAAATGCCCATATAAACATATGTAACATGGCATCTGACTATATCCTTCAATGTCTTAAACTTGAATTTATCTTGTGAGCTTCAACAAAATTTGTCCAATCAATAGGCCTTGATTTCCTAAATGTTTTCTTTAATTAGTAGTTCAAAATTTTTTCTTTGTCAATATTCATAATCCAGAAGCATCAAAGCTTTGCTCCATCGATTTCGATTATGTAAATAGAGTAATAAATATACATATGAATTACATTTATCAAAGAATTGAAACGTTATTTTGCTATGTTGTGCTTCAATATAGAAATAAAATAAGTATACTTGAACTTTTACGTAAAGTGCAAAGCGGCTATTTTATTTTTTCTCGAAAGAATTAATAAATTTTCATTTGTTTCAGGTTACTTACCGTCGGTAAGTTACCGAGCACCGATGAGCCAGCCTGAGTGTGAGTGGTTTCACTAGTCAAAGATAGGTGTCGTTGTCGAGAATTGTGGCGCAGAATTTAAAGTTACATTTTTGACTATAATAATAAATCTACAGTGAACCCCGTAAGTTCAATATAACGTGTCTTTCATATATTACGACAAATTAATAATGTTGCTGTCAATGGGATAAATATTCTTGTTGAAATCTCCTTCACCGCATTAAGAATGTGTATATACATCTGCAAGCGCGTGCCTGTGCACATTAAAAATGTGTAAGATTTGATACAATTTATAACGATGCAACATTACATCTCTAGTTTTACTTGTAATCGAGGACAAACATGAAATTGATCTGGAGAAGATGAAATTCATTAATGGTTTATTCGACAATGCTAAAAGAAAAATTGTGGCAAATAGTTTAATCGGTCATACATTTGATACGATTATGAATAGTAAAAAATTTACCCTTTGTAAGCGAGTTACGATCAAAGTATGAAATTAAACCAAAAATGTAAGAAATTTCAGTGTGTTATTTAATTACATTCTTTGTGTCAATGATTTTTTTCTTCATTAAATTGTTTATGTTTTATCAATTATTCTAGCAATATCATTAATACTCTAAGGTGTTGTTTACTGAAAGGGATTTTTTCAACGGTCAGACATTGTATTGATTGACTTGATTAGAAATTTTGAAAATTGGATACTTAGTTTTTTTTCTTTTATTTTTCACGTGCAACACAGGGCAGAGTAAGGCGAATTCATATTATTTTTATGTTTTAATATTTTTTGTTTACCAAGCATGAAATGACATCAAATGATTTCACCAATGGTATCTTCAAGAGACACACCAAGGCTTCATTAATAAGAAAATTTTTTTATGGCCACAGAATGTCTGACCAAATTCAGTGTTTACTACTTGCACGGTACTGTACGCATTATACGCCCCTCCTAGCTGCAGCTAGACATTAGTTAATATTTTTTGCTGTTCTTGTGTATATAACGTTAACAAAGAAATATTGTACTGGAATCATGAGATTTTTTATCATTAAAAGTAAGTATTAATTTTTTAAAAGATTCGTAAAAACGTTTTAAAATAAACAGTTGGGATTCAGATNGTAATAATACTAATGATAAACGCTACTGCAAAAGTATGAAAAATAAAAGCTGTTGATTAGTTGATCAGTTCTCGTCGCCCGCAACTTCGAGCACCCCCGTGATAGAGCAGAAAAATGTGTGCATTATATTAATCAGAGTAACAATAATTTTAATAGTAATAAAAAAGTATTATTGTTTGTTGAAAATTATAATCCCTTAACAAAGGTTGGCAGTTTATTATTTTCTTTTATTTCCTTCCATTGCCATCTCTGCACACTTTGTGCCCAATTGATATCACTTGTCTAAGCGGTACCTTGTTTTTTTTGCTCTAGTCGAAGCTTCTCGGACAAACAAATAGCGAGCGATGGCAAATAAAATTTTACTAGGTTTAGGTATAGGACATAAAAAAAAGGTAAAAATTTATCAAGCAAAAAGCTCATGTAAATAAAGAAAAAAAGAGTAAATGAAATAGTTTATGAAATCTCGAAATTAACGTTAATTAATGTTTGTTTATCGATCAGCTTCTACTCGAGCAAAGTTACATTCAATCACATTGTTTCGACGCATAAAGTGCCATTACTGTATGTATACGATACGTGCATTATTTGTTACTCTTAATTTTAAAATTTACACATTTTTTTTCTTGCGCCTTGTTGTCAATTGTTTTATCATCACTTTTTTAATGCTAATTTAAATGTTGATTTTATATAATATGTATAATAATCTCCGACACTAAGGAGAATTTTAATCGATATCATTTCAATTATATGATCGCGATGGCGCCTTGGCAATGAGCATGCTCAAGATGCTTTTCGAGACGCCGCGCGAAACGCGTGCGTTTTTTTGTTTTCGGTTTATTTGTGTGTACATCGAACGTTGTTTTTTTCTTCGCTCTCACCTTTTTTTTTTTTTTTTTTTTCCCCAACACATTAATACATTCACACGTATTACATTCATGCAATCGACACACGGAATTGGGTTAACAAAGAAATATTGTACTGGAATCATGAGATTTTTTATCATTAAAAGTAAGTATTAATTTTTTAAAAGATTCGTAAAAACGTTTTAAAATAAACAGTTGGGATTCAGATCGACTGTAAGATATTTTAGAGTAAATTTAATAATCATTGGATTTTTAACTTACTTATTTTGTGAATACTATGAGATTTATGTAACTAAAGATGTTGTTTTTTAATATCAATTATCAATAAAATAACTGTTTTTAAGAGAAATCTGAAAAATTTTGTTGAAAATAATGTTAACATGTATTTATACATAGGTATGTAAACCATGAATTCGATGATTTGTTGGCATTTGAAAAGAAATTTGTAACGTTCATGTTATTCACCCTAAAAGGACATGCAACCTATGCACTGATGCTTTGTATGACATAATTGTTTACAATAATGTATATTTTAGAACGGCTGTAGGTACGTGCACATTTTTATCTCGAGTATTTGATGGTTTTTTTTACGCAATCTGTTTTAAGTATCGCATAAAATAAGTACCTAAAAATAATTAAAAATGTTAAACACCGAAATAAAAATAAATTGTATTA